TACTCCCAAAACATAAAATCTGAAGGCTCTTTGCTGATTAGATTTTTCAATATTTAGAATATTGTTATATAAAGTTTTTCACTGAAATAACAGGATGTTTCAAAGTAAAAATCACCCCCATTATCATGAAGCCATTTTAATCATTTTAAATTGCATCTTAAAACCCTCTTCTTCACTATTCTGTTCGGATGTGAGTGTGGGGGCTGGAGGTGGCAAGGCTGAAAAAATGCCTGCTTTCCTTCTCACTAGCTGTAGTCACTTTCTGTTGTTTTCTCAAGTTTCACTAGAGTTGCATGATCTCCTGAAGTGATAAGCTTTTTGTAACCGTAAATTGTCTTTTATGTCAAAAGGTCTAGACGTTATAATGATTTACCTTGAGCCACAAGTATACTGGCAACGAATATTAATTTTAAGTATTGCCCAAGTCCCAGATGGTGTCACGGGAACATGGGAGGTTTCCAGGCCTAGGTGGAATTCCCTGGGGAAAGGTGAATTTTAGTCAATGATTGGGCCTTTTCCTGAAATTCACTTAGGCATTACTGACGTCTTCAGCCCACACCCAAAGGGTGTCATTTAGCAAGCCACTACAAGACTCACAGTCTCTGAAGACATAATTTAAACAAGGATTAGTTTGGGCACTGGAAGAATCAAGCTTTTTGGAATTGAGAATCTGACAAGAAGCAGCTAAGCTCCTGAAAGATGAGAGTCTTGTGGGTATTTATCTGATGACTTTTAAAACAGGCAGTTAGATTAATTTAAATCATCAGTTGAAATCTTTCTGTAAGAAAGCCAGATCTTCTGAAAACATTGCTTTTGGTTTCCCTGTCTCCAAGTTGTCAGGGCTGAAAAGAAAGAACTAAAAGGCAGGTTCGCCGCCAGGCTGCTTTTACGCACACGGAGCTGTGTGCCCGGGATGCAAGCTGCTGCTCTTTCACGTGGAGAAGCCGAAGGCAGAAGCCACAGAGTAGTTAGTGTGGCTGCCAATGGATCGCAGCAAGAGGGCTTCCGGCTTCAGAGACATCCTGGAGTTCTCGCAAAGACAGCGATGTTTCAGCTTCCCGGTGGTAAACCAGGGGATGTTTTGTTTTTTTTCACCTTGAACTAGAGGTGTAAGGGAAAAAGGAGAAGGGAAGCATGGTCTTTCAGCCCTGCTGTGGATCGCTCCGTCTATCCAGGGTTCCCAACTTGGTGCACTATCCCCCAGTCTCTACTAGTCCCCAGCATCGCTTTTCCCAAAGTCTCTAATCTTTATTATCAGGAAGATTCGGGTCAACAAATCACAAGAGTGAGAATCTGAGAAGGTAGTTCTTGGCTATTCAGGATTTCAGCAGTTGTGACCAACACAAACTCATTCCATTTCTTTACTTCTAGCTCCTGTGCTAGTGCTGGATCCTGCTCATTACTCCCTCTGTCCTGTTTATCAATCAGATATGGCTACTGCTGGCCTGGGACCAAAGCAAAGGTGGTTCCTTGCAAAATTCTCACCACTGTCCACTCAAGAGTAAGGTGACAGATCTAGAATTGGAGAAAAACACCAAAACCTTTACTGCAACAATAAAACCAAAATGAAACACACAAAAGACACTCTGCAAACACTCTTTCTCACTACTACTTTAACACTAGCTAGCTTGCCAACTTTCCGAGATCCTGAAATGTAAATAGATAGAGTTAGTCTGGAGCTTTTCATTAAATGCTTAATCACTTAGCTAATCTCCATATATTGGCATGCATTCAAGCTCAAACTTTTCTTTCTTTTTTTCTTTTTTTTTAAAGATTTATTTATTTATTTATACAAGCACTGGGTACAGTCAGAAGCGCGGGAGGGTGAGAGGATTCACCAGAGCCAGAGCGGGGAACAGAACAGGCAGACTGATGAAATACACTGCTGAGGGGAGCAGCGGGCGGCAGGAGAGGTCTGCGCGCCATGTGGGACCCTCACCCGGTGGCCGGGGATCGAACCGGCACTGCAGAGGCTGCGGGCAGCTTGACAGCCCAGCGCTCAACCGCTGCGCCAGCAGGGGAGGCCATTCTTTTTTCTTTACCTACTTTTTAGTACAGTAATCTAAGGTTCCCAAGAGTGATCAGGTCGACGTTTTCTCATGAGACCAGGACAAATAAGTAGCCTACAAAATACATTTTGACGGTTTTAAATTTTGAACCCAGTTGGCTACCTTTTCTTATTTCAATATAACTGTCACAAAGGTGCAATATGCTTGCTGTGTTTTCTAATTACTGAGTCACTTTCACTCCAGCCCACTTAAAGATTTTGATCTTATTGCTACTTTATACATGTTTTCCATTTCATACCTATTTCATTATGGTAAGAATTTTAATTCACAATGCATTTAAAAGCCATCTGACTTGAAGAATGCATAATAATAACAAAAGATAGGTCTCCAAATTACCCACCCAAGAGTACAACTACAAATTCCTTTATAGCATTTGCAAAGTGTGTCTGTCTTTCTTCAAGGCCTGTTTCTCTATTGTTTGGGACGAATGTGACTTTTCTTGAAAGCCACACTCTAAATTGTTTACAATGTATTTTGTTAAGTGAACTAAATTAAATTTCACATTTTCCAATTATATTTCTCATCTTCAACCATTCACAGAATCTTCACGTAAGAAGTGCTTTTAAATATTCTAAACCACTCAGATTTTTAAGATACTCTACTTTTTATGTGAGATATTTCACACTGGATAAACTCACTGGAACTTTCATTTCTGAATATTTGAGTGATTGTCTGGAGAATTACTTAATTGAAAAGAATGACTTCAAGTACATGAGAGCAAAGGAAATAAAAATGAATTGATTTAGTTTATACAAGCTTCCCCACTGATCAGAAACTATGTGCTCAGATCTTTAATAAAGACCCAGCCAGAAGAACACAGAAGCACTTAAAACTGTGGCTTCTCTTTAGACACAAGAGAAAGAGGAGGAGAAACGCCTGTTTAAAAATGAAATTTCCAAGTAAGTGATTGATATTTTTCTTATTCACGTCAGTCTCTCCCTTTCCTTATAGGCAAGGCCCTCTCCCTTCGAAGGCATGGTGAGGAGATACTTGCTCACAGGAGATGACTACTACCAAACTCTCAAAGAGAAATGGAAGACTTTAAAAGGAAAAGCAAGCGGAAAGGCACATTCTCCAACAACTTTTAATCACTGTAATTCGGCCTCCAGCGTGCCACTCTCTTCCCTAAGGCTCTGGAAAAAAAAAAAAGAAAAAAGTAAAAGCCCATTTGTTAACCTGACACAAAAATATCAGGCGGTGAATTCATTTTGGTGGGGCGGAGGGAACTGGGGAGACTAATTTGGAAAGAAAATTCATAAAACACTCCACGCAAGACGTTTTCAAAGAAGCAACCAAATGCTGAGAGGAGGGAAAAGCATGCCAGGGGCAAACAAACGTGTGGTGCTGAAATCTAGGGAGCCGAATTCCCCGGGCAACAGGAGAAACCAGTGCAACTTGCAAAGCCGCCAACACCATCGGATCCAGTGATTTCACAAGAAATAATTTCAGAATGGTGGGAGGGTGAACCTTCCCAGCCCCCGAGCCCGGAGAGGCACCATCCTGTCCTACCACTGGGTGGCGACGGCCTGGCTTTCCCGAGGGGGTCGGGGGTCGAAGGGTGGGGGGCTGTGGTCTCCGCTTCTTCCCCTCCAGGCCGCACTGCCCAGTCCAGAGAAGAGCCTGCCAGCCCCCATCTTGATCCAGTTGCCTGAAATGTCAGATTCGGTAAAAAGACAGGAAAAAAAAACAACTCAGGCCTTAGAACCTGAGGTCACCAAGTAACAGCCTCTTAAAAATCTTTCCCCACCAAAGCTGAGCAGTGGGAGGGAGGAACGGCATGTTTCAAACTCTACTGGGGTTTTCAAAGCAAACCTTCCAGCAGCTGCTTGAGAGCGACAAGTGATGCTGAAATTACAACGTGAACCCCGGGTTCGGGTTTTCGAACCCAGCCCAGGGCATGGCTCCCCCGCCAGGGGCTAGGGAGCCACAGGGTGCTGGAACAGGGTGAACAAACACGAACCGTTTCATGGCTGGCCAGGAATTCTTCCTCCATTCATCAAAGTGGGTGAATGAAAACATTAACAAGTCGGTTCGGCATGTTCGTGTTGCTTCCCTAGTATCCTTCTGAAATCAAGACCTCACTTGGGTTGCTTTCTACCTTGGGTGTCAAGCAAAGCCTCCTCCCATGCAAGGAAAAAAAACCCACTTGCCCCTTTCATGAAAGGGCTGCACGCCAGAGCTCACATCTTGGCAAAAGAGAGGTTACATAAATTCCAGGTGTTCCTAAATATGCATGTTTACACGCGCACAACACAATCATCTCAGGAGGCACCTAAGTTTCTGGGCCACTTTTTCTTTTTCTTCTTCATGTCAAGGAAGAGTCGAACCCTGTGTTCATGGCTCTGCCTTGGACCGTGCTGCGCTGGGACCGTATTTCCTGCCAGCCACAAGCAAGAAATCCCATGATTTGCACCCAAAACGCATCTCAGCGGTGGCACACTTACCTTTCTTTTCTTAACTGAGCCAAAATAAAAAAAAATTCAGGTCTCTTTCCCCGCCCCCCATGGGGACCAAAACCCAGCCCTGGAATTCTGCGCTATTTCCCAGGTGTCCGCACAGCCCCGCGCCCCTCGCTCGGATGCCTCGGCACCCCACTCCGCCTGCACCCGGCTTCCTTCCCAGCCCGGGATTTCCCCGGGAAACACTCCCGGCGGACGGTTTCCAGCCGTGCCCTCCCCGCCGGCCGCGCGGCAGCCCCGGCGCCCCGAGCCCCGCGCGCCGCCCCGACCCGCACCCCGGCGCCCGGACGGCGGCGCGGGGCGCACGGCCGCGCCTCCCGGGACCAGCCGCCGCCCCGCGCCCGCCGGGCTGCCGGGTCCGGGCTGGCCCCGGGGCTCCCGCCGCATCCCGGCCCCGCGCCCCGATCCCGGGCAGGGACCTGCCCCCCGGGGTGCAGCCCGCGCCCCGGACCCGCGGCCGGCGCCCGCTCACCTTCCCTGGCTTTCAGCAAGACCGTGTTGGCCACGATGTTTTCCAGCTCCATTGACAGCCGGCGGGCAGCGCGGGCGGCCGGCGGGGCTGTCAGCCCGGGGCGCTCGCGGAGGCGCTGCTGGCGGCGCGGGCGGGCGGGCGGGCGGGCAGAGCGGGCGGCGCTACCGCAGGACCCGCCGGGGCGAGCTCCGCCGCCGAGCGCCGCCGCCGCGCGTCTGCTCCGCGCCCCCTCCCCCCTCCCTCGCGGTCCCCCCCGCCCCCCACCCTGCGCGCCTCTGTCACTCCATTCTCCTCCCGCCGGCTCCCGCGGATGCTTTGGTGCCTCGGATGCTTCTGCGGCTCCGTCCCCCCCGGGGGTGTGGTACTAGCGGGCTCGGGGCCGCGCTGCGCACGCGCCGCCCCGGACGCGCCTCCCGCCGCGGCGCCGCGGCGCGGGGGCTGCTGGGACTTGTAGTTCCCGGCGCGCGGGCCGCCCCGCCCGCCCCGCCCCCGGCGGCGGCCGGAGGGAGGCGGGCGCGGCCTGGGCCGGCGGGGCGCGCGCGGAGGGGGGCGGCGGGCGCGGGCCGAGGCGGCCCGGCCGGGTAGGGGCCGCGGCCCCGGAGCCCGCACTCCACGCCCACGCCCGGGCGCCCGCTCCCGCCCCGCCGAGAGTCGCCAAAGTGAAGTCTGCAGGCCACGGCGGGGCCGGGCGGGGGCCGGTGCGGGGCGCCTCAGCCCGCCGCCGACGCCGCACCCCGCGTCCTCCGGCCGCGCCGGCCGGGCGGGGCTGTGGGCACCGTCCCGCGCGGGGCCGCCGACAAAGCGGGACTTTGTTTCCTCCCGGGCGCCGAGCGGCCGGCGACGACCCGGCGCAGCTGCCCGAGGCGGCGCCCGCGCGCCCGAGCGCCCCCCGGCGGCCGCGGGCGCGGCGAAGGGTCCCCGGGACCCCCGGCCCGGCGCGGCGGGCTCGGGGCGCGGGCGGGGGCGCGGCGAAGGGTCCCCGGACCCCCGGCCTGGCGCGGCGGGCTCGGGGCGCGGCGAAGGGTCCCCGGACCCCCGGCCTGGCGCGGCGGGCTCGGGGCGCGGGCGCGGGCGGCGGCGCCTCCGGGAGTAAACGGCCTCCGGGCCGGGGCCCGCGCGCCGCCCGCCTCGCCGCGGCCGACGCCCTCCGAGTACCGCGGGCGCGGCCAGTCGGGAGCGGCGCGAGTCCGCGGTCAAGTGCGTTTTCAGATTGCGGGTTCATTTCTCTTGGGGGCTCCCGGTGCCGTTCCCCTGGGAGCCCCGATCATCAGTCTGCAGGTCAGCGCGCAGCCCCGACCCTGCAGCCCCCGAGGACCCCACCGCTGGGGAATGAGCCCCTCGGGCCCCCCGCCCCCCAGCCTGAGAATGCGCCCCAGACTTGGCGGGGGGGGCTCGTCCCCAAGGAGCAAGGAGGCGTCCAGAAGCGGGCTCTGGGCCTCCTGTCCAGAAGGAGGAAACCTGTCCTCAGAGCTGCCAGGAAGCGGCCCGGAATTGCGGGGGGGGGGGGGGGGGGTTGGGAGGGAACAACTGTTCCACATTGGAGGGTGTAAGGAACTAAGACTTCGGGCCCACAACAACCAGAACGGTCCTGGCTGATGCTCAGCAGCACAGGACTGTCTTGCTTGGATAGTCCCAGCCTCACCTGGAGTCTGGAGCTGGGGCCTCAGGCCGCACCTGGTCTGTAAAGTGGGGGGCAAGTAGCTGCGCGCGTAACTTCTCAGGCATGTTTCACTCCAGGAGTTACTGTTTGAAGCAACTGCAGGCTGGGCTGCTCATCCGCACGCCCAGAGCCCTAACGCATAAAAAAGCGTCTCAGTGAGACAGAGACTCCTACACGTCAGCGCTTCCCAACTGCCTCCTCTTTTGCCTTCACTCAAGGCCTGTTACACCCCAGTGTGTTCATTTGGCTGTCATTAAAATCATGCCTTTAGATGGTTTATGGTCCATAGCAGTCTTCTCAAACCTCTTTGGGCATACAGATGGTGGGGGGGTGTCTTGTGAAAACTCAGATTCTCTTTCTAGGTCTGAGGTGGGTTCTGAGATTCTGCTGTTTCTAACTCCAAGATTCTGCTCATCCTGCTGGTCAGTGGGCTCCCTCTTTGAATAGCAAAACTCTACAGTGAGCCACTTCACTCTCTGTTGTTATATCCAGTCAATGATTGCCAATGATTTGACCTATTTGGTCCCTATAAGACATCTGATTTGCAATCCTGGGAAACCCCTGCCTGCCTCCTTCATTTTACAGACATAAAACAGACCCAAACAGTAAATGGACTCCACATGGTCGTTTAGCAAGTGATCCAAAGCCTATCTACTCTCGCTATGCAGAAATATGTCCTGCCTACAAAATAAATGATGTGCTTCCAGAATCTGTGCCTCTGTGAGGAAATTAGGACATTCCAATACAAGAATGGAATGATACTAACGAGATTTACTGGGTACCAACTGTGTGTCAGATCCTGTGCTAACTGGTTTTACATGGATTATTTCACTGAATTCACCATCCACATGAAATAGAGAATATCATCCCATTTTATAAAGTTACCAGGTTAGGGAAAGTCCAGTTTTGTGAAGATCAGACTCAGGCCACACAACTAAGAAGTACAGGCCTAGGATTTGAACTCAGCAGCCTGACTCAGTCCATACACTTAATTTCTGGCTAGTTTTGACTGGCTGGCAGAAATTGGTTTTAATTGTTCAGTGTGACTGCCAGAGTGAACTTAAATTATATTGTAAGAAGGCAAAGCTGGTAGTCAGCTAAGTGATTAAGACTTAAAGGGGGTTGCTATTCCAGTTCATAATGCCACCATTATAGCTTCATTCCTTTCAACTAATTACATTAACAATTTGGGATCCTCTTTTAAAAAAAAGAGTTTTCACAAGGAAGAGCAGTCTTAAATATCAATAACTAAGTCAGAATCTTGCTGGTTGAGAGCAAGCTTAGAAATCCAAGTGGAGGGCTGAGTGAAGATGACGGAGAATGCCAAATCAACTCTGGGTCACCTGCAAAAGAAACAGAATCTTATTCTGTGGGCACCTGTATCTCCTGGATAAATTTGCTTGGTCAGAGTTCTTACAAATAGAAGTCAGCTCCCTACAGAGAGGAAACTCAACTTGGAGAATTAAGTCTGTTGCCCAAACTCAACTGTTGGTAACTGTGAGTCAAGTTCTTTAGTAGGTGTCCGCATTCCCTACTCAAAGTCCTAAAATGTATCTTTTTTATCTTTCAATTTTCCTTTCTATAGAACCTATTAAGTGCATTAGGCAACATTTACTGACTCAGATCCGGGTAGGGCAGGAGCCAGCCCTGCCTCTGCCTCTGGGGTGCTAGTTATTCCATCATTAAGTTAACTATCAAAATTCCTACATCCAAGCTCTGCCAGATCAGAGCTTAAAAGGGCAAAGCAGGAGAAACTGACCTCCTGGTGTCAGAGGTCAACATCACAGAGAGCCTTACTGATCTCCCAATCCCAGAAACTTTCAGCTCTCCAGCTGCACTTCCAGTCTCAAATCCAGCCACTCCTACAGTCAGTTCAGGGTTTAACCAATCATAATTTTAAGGGAAACTTAATTAGCAGGCTAATTCCATGTCACCTTTCAGACTGAGTGAAAACACAAGATATTTACCTCCCAAGATGGCGCATGGAGAGCTGGGCTTTTTTTTGTTTGGTTCCATGCTAAGCCACCAGATATATTTAGATGGAGAGGAAATGTTGGACTTGGTAAGGAAATTACACGCTAAAAGTATAAAAATTAATTTTGTACTATCAGAGTAGGAGGAGGAAAGACAGCCTCTTCTCTGATAATCCATTTAAAAGGCAATGATTTTCTGTTAATATGGAGAAGGAAACCATCTCTTCTGGTCTCTTTATGAGTAGCCATCTATTAGGGGATGACACAATGAAGCCAGATTCATCTGCAGGAGTAGGGTGGCTTACCATGGAAATGTGGATACAAGCTGAACAAGAAAGGTAAAGGAAGACTGAGCTGAAGTGAACCAGTCCCCCTCCAACCAGATGATTCATACATATGTGGAAGGGGCTTGAGTGGGTCCCAGATTATTACCACAATAACATAAATGTCCTCTTGCTCCAGACACTCTGGGCCTAATTGTCTTTGAGATGTTATTAGTAGGAAGTTTTTACTGTCCAAAGATGGGCCACATTAGAATACGAATATTAAACCGACCCCTTCCCTCCTGGAAGTCTCACCAGTCATATTCTAACGGAATCGAATAAATACTCATTTTAAAAATGGAATGTTCTGCACAGATTGCATTTTTGACAATTTCATAAGAGAATATGGTATCTCATTTGCCTTTGGAGCTGCTCAGTTCACTCCTGTGGAAGCAAACATGGAGGAAGGAGCCACAGAAATGAGCTGGCGCAGGAAGCTGCAGTCTGGGAGCTCTCCCCTGCCATCGGCTCCTCCACAGAGAGAGGATGCCATCTAGCATGGGCACTGCAGAGCTGCAGCCGGCCTCTGGCCGCAACACGAAGCCTCGGACTTTTGGCTCTACCTGGTGTGGTCTGAAATGAGTCTACCCGTGTGCCAGGCAGATAGTTGCCGCCTGCTATACAGGGAATTCAGCTCATAGAGTGGTTATTGGATCATCAGATGTTTCCATTACTTCTATCTCATGCTCACAAGCCACTTGTGCTCCAGAACCTGATTGTGTTCTCACGAGCCTCACTAGTCTGTCTGTGACCTCTCTGTGTTTTGAGGAAGGCTAGCTGGAGAGACGTTGTGAATATACTAAATGTCACTGACCTGTTCTCTTTAACATGTTAGTTTGATGTGTGAATTTGACCTCAATAAAAATAAATTGTTTAATCCAGGGCCTTCCTGGTGGTACAGGGCCATAGGTATCAAGCTATTGCCAGCCACTGTGGCCTGAGTTCAATCCCCAGCCAGGGAGCTAACCCACATGGTACAGACCTCTCCTGTCTCTCCGCTGCTCCCTTCAACAGTGTATTTCTTTTTTTTTAAGATGTATTTATTTATACAAGAACTGGGGTACAGGCCAGAGGTGCAGGAGGGTAAGAGAATTCACCAGAGACAGAGCGGGGATCAGAACAGGCAGATGGACTGAAGACACTGCTGAGGGGAGCAGCAGGCGAGGCAGGAGAGGTCTGCCGCACTATGTGGGTTTCTCCCTGGCTGGCCGGGAAT